AGCATCCTTATATAATAGTCATTCACTATAAAAGCTGAGTTATTCTCGGAACCGAATATTATAGGCAAAATACATAAGTTGCCACCTGACTTATGGCCCAAGTCCCTGTTACACACTTTCTAGGAACGAATATTACTTTTACACACCCAACCTTTCCAAAATGTATCTAAGACACACCACTTTTTTCTTAACCAGTTTTTCAGAATATGTATAATATCACGCACCAATAAGGTCGTGACACATGTCCTAACTCAAGGAACAAAAAATAAAAATACTAAATTTACACCACAATTGATATATTTAAAAGAAAAAAAGAAAAAACGGAAAACACCCCCCCCNAATACCCACCAGAAAAAAAAAATCACATGAATCAAGTGTTGGCCATGGCAACCACCACTATCGTCATGGCCAATATTCACATAGATCTTTCACATGGTGTTTTAAGTGTTGGCCATGGCAGCCATCACTATTGCCATAATTTTTAGAGCAAAACCTACACTATAAACCCTTTCTTCACACCCATTCAAAAAAAATTAAATTTTTGAAGCCAAAGAAAAAATAAGCAGATCTAAAAACAAAATTATGAAAACAAATGGAGAAATCAGTCACTGATTTCATTAGCATATCTAAAAATATTTAAACTTGAAGGAGATGACTAATTAATTTGAAACTTGGACCTAGCTCTAAAACTATTTTTGTGGTTCAAGAGTTTAATTAATGGAGATGACAAAGTAGGTGTCCAGAGGAAGAAGAAAACGGGTGGGGGGTGTGTGGAAAAAAGACCAAATTATTTGGAGATTAAATAACTAAAAATAGAAAAGAAAAAAATAACAAAGGCTGGGGACATGTGGCATTTAGATAATGATTTAGACCCGAAAGTTTTATATTTACTCGCCTCTTTTTTGTGTAAAACACGCGCGCGCCAGCTGCCAAAAGTGGTGTGTATTAGATACACTTTGGAAAGGTTGGGTGTGTAAAGTAATATTCGTTCCTAGAAAGTGTATAACAGGGATTTGGACCATAGGTCAAGTGACAACTTATGTATTTTGCCAATATTATATTATGTTATTAGATATGTCCTCTATAACGACACTTCACTATAGCAGCCAAAAATTTTCGGAACAAATGAGGCTGTCATGGAGAGGTTTGACTGTAATCCATTACATTCAATCCTTTTACTTAGGAGTTTTTTTTAATATACGTTTGGCTAAAAGAAAGAGAGGACGAGGGTGTGAATCGGAAAAAGAAAAAAAACCATGTACCAAATTATTTCTCTTAGATAAAATATATATAAAATTTATTTCTGTTATATTGCACGGCCAGAAAAGAGTAAATGTCGTTCATCTTTTACCCTTAAAAAATAACTTTTACAATGGACAAATTTGTAACTTTGGTTAGTTTCCTAATGTTTAGGATTTTGAAATCAACTAAAAATTTTGATATTAAATCTTTCCCTATTAAAATAGATAGGAAGTACTAATATTTAGGAATTTAAAATTAATAAATATTTTACCTTATGTAAATTGTACTAATAGACAATACATCATTTGTGCAATACGTATAAAATCAAGATGAGAACGATGGCGACTTCAATTAATTACTAATTAAAAATTAAAAAATGGAGACATAAAATGACATACATTACATTAAAATTATTTAATACAGTAACTTCTAAATAAAATTATTTCAATGTAGAATAATTAAATATGTATTTTAAGTATTCTTATTTAATCATATAAAGTAATTAATTCATGTTCAATTAAGCACCCAAAATAATTATTCAATATCATATTTAAGAATAAAAAGATTATGCCGGCCTAAATTCATCTATATCTATACTATAAAGTCTCTATCGAAATATCATTCGCCTTTTTTTATCCTTTAAAAATTAATTTTACACCAGACAAAATAGTCATTTAATTATTTTTTGAATATTTAGGTCTTCAAAATCAACTAAAATTTTATTTAAGAAGATCCTAATATTAGGTCTTCAAATTCAATTAAAATTTACTTTATTATTATTTTTCCTTATTTGACGAGTTTTTATAAATATCCTTTTGGAGTTTAGTACGTGACCATTAAAGTTTTTTAATTCTTAGCCTCTAAGGTATATAATAGTATTTTTTCCCTCTAAATTGCCAATAATTGATTGCCTAAAATATGGAACATCCATCAGCAATGTATATTCGCTTTTTCCTGTTAAATTTTTAACAGTTTTGATTTAATTTTAACTTTAAATTTCTAGAAGTCTGAACTAATATGGTGTTAATTTAGAAATAAATTAAGTTACCACCATGCTATGTGAATGTACAACTATAGTTAATATTTTAAACCTAAGTTAAATTAATATATTTGGAACTCTTGAAATAACTATAAATTTGTCATCCCCCACCCCCTCACCCTCTGATAATTTTGAAAAATTGACCTCAACATTGTGAACTCTTGAAATTTCAAAATTGTTATTAGCAGAGTATATCCGGAGTGAGTTTAGGATGGTATTGACTATTGCATGAAGTAAATTTAGACTTAAATCAATAAGAATTCACGCAACTTTTTTTACACAAGAAGAGGTTCATTTGGCTATAATTTTGATTAACTTTGAATGAAGAACTATTTTTTTTGTATAACGACATTATGAGCGTAAAGTTTACAAAGAGATGTTGGATGAGATATAACAACATAGCATATTTGTATCTAATATAATAAAATATTTATTGCTATAAATACTATAGAATTCATTACACTAACTTCACTCGAAAAATGTTGAATTCAGCTATATATTATATCAATGTAGTAATATCTTTTTCATCATTTAAACATATATTGCGTTTAGTTTTAACTCCATTGCTATTTTTTAATAATTTATATACGTTTTATATTGATTAACATGATGCACACGTGCAACGCACGTACACTAAAACTAGTAATCATAAAAGCAAAGGAAATCTTGTGCGAGTAGCTGTAATAGCCTTATTTGGTATAGAAAATATCAGTTGTAAAGCTTCATTCTCATCGTTCTTAAGGAAAGTGCATATGCTGCTTTATCTCCAAGGCTCTAACAAAGCTAGTGATTAATGATAAATAGGTAATGACTACTGTAATACATATTGGCCTCTCTTTCAGAATTTGGGAGTTCTATTTTAAGCTAGAACCACAAAGACAAGTTTCCATAAGCTTTCTCAAACTCCAAGATCAGTTGAAAACTTGTTGTGACAGAATAATGGCACTATTAGTCAAAGATAGCTTAAATTTCTTCTACTTCAGTTACTTCTTCTTTAATACCATCTTATCCAACAGATACATTCAAATGTGTGCTCATGGGAGGTTCAGTTTTGACATTTTATATGATTAGGGAGAATCCTGATTCAGCTTGGTATATGACATGGGAAGATGAACTTTTAGAAGGCAATTTCACAAACACATAGTAGGCAAATTGAAAGAAAAGTTGCGAAAGGAGAAAAAAATTGAGATCTAGCAACAATTGGTGATTCCTTAGACTTATTAAACCCAGAAGCAACGCATGAAAAAAACAGAGTGGGGGAAGATCAAGAAATTCCGCTCAAATCAATGCACCAGGTTTCCTACACAAAGACTTTCAATAATCGGTGATGTCGGAAGTAGCAGCAAAATCAGTAAACTTAACATAAAAAGAAATCTGTAGATGAAGTGGAGAAAGAAAGAAGATGAACAGAAGCAGACTGAAGGCAGATTAATTGCTGGTTTGTATGTACCGAGGAGTTCTTATATTGCACCACCGGTCAAGTTGCTCTAGCTTTCAGTAAACTTTTGGAGAAGGCCAAAGTAGCCCTTGTATAATATTCAGCTGAACATAAACATTAATTTGTATATCTTAACAAACTGTATAAAAAGGTTGCCTAACCATTATAATTTATTGCTTTTGCAATTAACACAAGAAGCAAAGAGCAACACCAAACCACCAATACTGGCTTGAGCAATAACCAAATGATAATCAAAAGGCTTCGGAGGAGCTCCAATAGGCGGGAAAAATGGAACTTTTATGTGTAATAATGATAAAAGAGGAAGTAAAAAGCTGCACAAAGTACTCATCTAAGCTAGTGACTCATTTTACATGTCAAAGATAACAGAAAAAGTACGAAAAATTTGGTGAACTTTACAATTTTTCTGTCTCTAACATCATATGGTAAAAGAAAAAATCCACATGCTTTTGACATTCATACCTCTGAGTTCTCTAACAAAATTCTAGATAGCACTATAACAAGTTTAACTTATTTGAGAACTTTTAAATAATAAAGAGGTTGTTTACTATCCTTAGCACAACTAAGAAACTCTAGTAAGTCAAAAACAGTACATGCCAACATTAGGACAAAAGTGATTTTCCTGGGAAGCAGCAAGAATATGTCACACCTATATTTTATCAACAGAAAAACTTAGATTTCCAACATGCCATGAATAGTATTTTACTTAAAAATTTCTGGAGGTATAGGGCTAAGCAAGAATCGACTTGACAAAAAGAAGTATCAGTAAGCACCAAGTTTTCTAATCACATCAACATCAACAAGCAAATAACCTCATCCTCATGCATCTTAGGACCATTGTAGTCAAGCAAGATAAGCCTACTATTTGTCCGGTTATAAGCAAAGCCAATGTGTTACATTGAAAGCTTCCTGAAATTAGGACACAGGGCAAGAAGTATTTCTTGAAGCTATCTCTTTATAGAATTAATTCATTTCAAGATTCCCAAGTAAGTTCAAGTGGATTAACTTAATCCCTTAGTAGCATAATGCTAAATTTGTCACGAATTGGCAGGGAACAAAGCAAGTTGTTCTTCCTCTTAGAAGTCTCATCTTTTAGTAAATTTTCCCTTTCATGTGAAGCAAAGGTTTCAATTTCTCCCAGTAGTACCTTTATTGACTCCGGCTTCACTAATGACTAATTGGCCATGTATATAGCTAAATGTCTGTTACTTTACTGACAGAGCAGTCCATCCAAGGGAAGACAGGAAAAACTTAATCCATATAATGATGTAAACCATTTAGAAAAGATAGTTCAATAAGAAGATCAGAAGATAATTAAGGCACCTGTAGAATACCAGTAACAACAAGATGTAATTCTTTTAATGAAAACAAACTCTTCCCCTGGTCCTATTGGATTTGTTATTATGTTAACGTGTGTGAATGTGCAATAACCAACAAAAGTGTTCATCACAATAAGCCAATTTTCCCATTCAGTCTTGAAAATGATTGCAAGAGCTTCATTATTTAAAACTTTGATTTTGAGGTTTGTCGAATGCAATGCATTACCACTAACGTTGAAAAGATTATGCGAAAAATCAAAAATAGAAGCACACTGTTTTGATGCAAATACCAGAAAATCTTCAGAACACAGAGTCGTAAGAACGTAACTAAGCCCCTACCCGCCACAAAGAATAATAAAAATAATTTTTATATACCAACCGTCACAATAAAATTCCTGTAAAAATCCATTTTTCACAATAAATTCCCACGAAAATTCTAAAATTCAATTCAGACACCATTGTAAAATTTCCCCCTTTCTTCAGTTCCAACGAAGCAGAATAAACTCATTCAGCCAGAGGTTCGGCAACTATATAAATTCAAAATAGGGCAAAGTCAGACATAATTTTTCTCTAAAATGCAAACGCCTACCAAATCTAGAGCGGAGATGAAGTTTCGTGGCATAGACAGTCAATTAAATTGATTCGAAGCGTCGAAGCGATTACCTTGATGCAACAAAGTTGGAGCGACGAAATAGCCCAAAACCTAATTTATCCTGTGAAAAAGTTGGTAGAGCTTCCACAACAGAAGTTGATTAATTTAAGCTATAAATGCAAAAGTAGTGCAAATTCCATGGAGGAACGGGAGAATAAGTTGAGAATACCGAAGAGAGAGAAAATTACATAAATATAAATTGTTGCTGGCAGGTTGTATAGGTGAAAATGACTATGTAACCCTCCCAAATTTAAGCCGCACGTCATCCATAAGGTCATAACAGAGAATTCAATACACAGCTGGACTGAATGACCAAATAGCCCTTGGTAGGCAAGCAGGGATGTCGACGGTCTCCTGCTTGCTTTAGGGCGCTTCTATATAGTAGAACACACACACTTAAAAAGATCATTAGAATTTCTTGAAATTTTTTCTTCTTTCTTTACATGTTTGGGGAAAAAAAAAGTTTCCCTTATACGGATTATACAAAAATCAAGTATATCTAGAGGTTAATAAATTCGAAGCAATAATATAAAAGTAAATGTTAATATTAAAATGAACTAAAATTTGAAATCTTTATTTTTTTTTAATGTTTCGATGTTATAAAAATTTCAAATTTTTATATGATAAAAAGGTAGAATTTTCCTTCATTATTTCATTCAACACATTTTAATAAGCCACAAAGTCTCTGTTACGAAAAATTGGATTAAAATAATCTTAGTAAGTATTCTTAGACGAGATAAGGTTACACCTTATATTATAGTGCATTAAGAGGGCATAAATCAGAATTTTTTGTGTATCGTTGTAACCTTTAACTTTTCTGGAACAATTAAGATAATTCTATATTTTTGTATCATTTGGTAGTAGGGATAAGGAGTCTCGGCTCTAAAGAAAAAGACGGTCTTTAAAACTAAAATTTGTAAGTTAATAACTATGTGAAAAATTTGAAATTAGTTGTTTTTTTCTTTTGTTTCTTCCGATTTCAAGAGTTAATCAAAATGAGAAAAGAGTTTTGATCATTGGTTCTTATATAAAACTTTTGACTTGCCTAAACCATTTTCTTAATTAGATAAAAATTAGATGTATAATATAGTTCAGTGAAAGCAAATCAAAATAGGACCGAACACGTATTTTCCTCCTTGACAAGGGCAACACTCAATAAAAAAAAGTATTTTTTATTTCCGATCACTTTCTATGATGTCATATTATTGTAATTACTCTGGGTTTTTTTGGTACCATTTTAAATACATATAAGAAGTCTTGGACTAAAGCAAACACCGTCACTTCTTAGAATAATGAAATCTAATATTTGTTGCACCCATGTTGTTAATGTCAATCCCTTTAGATTCGAGTCCATATGGGTGCAGTCACCCAACTTTCCCTGCATTAATCACAGACTCCTTCCCAACTTATTCCACCTTAATCCTTTAATTCCTAAGATTTTCAAAAATAATGTCATCAATTGGAATAAGCATACTTTTGGTAACATATTCCACAAAAAGAAGAGATTGTTGGCCAGGACTGCTGACATCCAGAAATCTCCTAACTACTAATTTAGTCAGTTCCTCCGAAAACTTTCTAATCGAGGAATTAGACTCAATCCTTAAGAATGAAAGAGGATTTCTGGAAATTGAAAGCTAGGATAAGCTGGCTCTTTGATGGGGATGCCAACATTAGATTCTTCCATACCTCTACTCTAAATAGAAGAAGGAGAAATAGAATCTCCTCCCTCAAAGATGAGGCTGGGAACTGGCTGCATAAACCTCATGAAATCAAAGTCTCCATTGTCAGCTTTTTTTCAAGGATCTCTATACTTCTTCACATACTCAATCCCCGATCTCCAATACCACTTCTTCCCCCTGTATCCATCACTATCCACTGTGCAAAAAAGCTAATATGGCTCTCTCCCGCAGAGATAGTGAAATCAAAAGAGCCATTTTCTCATTCAAGCCCTTCAAAGCCCCGGGATCTGATGGACTACATCCATTCTTTTACCAGTAGTACTAGGACATTGTGGGAAAGTATGTCATCCAATTCTGCAAAGAATGCTTCTCATCTGAAATAAAGTACCCCAGTATGAATGAGACCCTCATGTGCTTTATTCTAAAATGCCCCCAAGCCTCCATGCTAAAAAAACTTTAGGCCCATAGGGCTATGCAACACTGCCTATAAAACTGTAACTAAAATCCTAGTCAACAGAATCAAACCATACCTAGCCCACATCATTGGTCCCGGCCAGGTAAGCTTTCTGTCCAACATGAGAGCCTTGACAATGATATCATTGTCCAGGAATACATCACACACTTTGAAAAAATAAGAGGCAAAATAACCCACATGACCTTAAAGATTGACTTGGAGAAGCACTACAACAAATTCGATTATCAGTGACAAATTATTTTGTCACCTAAAATTAATATTTCGTCACAAAAAACTTTTCTTGACGAAAAAAATTGTCAATCATTCGTCCTTAAATATGCGTCACTAAGGTATACAAAAACAACTTAGTGATTCATCACTAAATAAAGTTGTTTTAACTACGAAATTGATTTTCGTCCCCAAACATATAGTATTTGTGACGAACTTATTTGTCAAAAAAGTATAAAATTCTTGTAGTTGATAGTACATTTTCATCACTAAAGAGGCAATTAATAGCGACGAAACTACCTCGTCACTAACTATTTAGTTTAATTAGTGACAACATTAATTGTCTCTAAAGTTATATGTATTTCATAGTTGAACAAATGTAATTTTGTCACTAAAAATTACCTATCATACACAAAAAGATATTTCGTCCCTAAATATAAAAATTAGTGACAAATTTGCTTTAATAAAATTGGCTTAAAATTTTGTAGCTAAGATAATCATTTCATCACTAAAAACATCGCTTGTACTGACAAAATAAAATTGTCCCTATAAATTATCATGATTCACGTCAATTGCAATTATCATAAAATAAAAAATAATTCATAGTAAATAAGGCAATTATGAGAAATAGAAATATATAAGAACTTTTCATTGCTAAAAAATCAAACAACATAAAGTATTCTAATATACATTATAATACATTTTCTTTGTATATATAAATGGCCCAAAAACTAATATAAAATGTTTCCAAACTATTCCTTTACCTTCAAACTCCTTCAAGTTTGTGGTTGACTTTGTTTCTGTTGTTGGAGAACTTTATCCTTCCTATATTAAAAAAATAGCAAAGGATCAAAAGAGAGAAAGAAATTAGAAAATTCTAATAGTAATCCAAGTATAATTTATCAAGACAATCGAATGCAGAAGAAAAAGGTAGCACATACAATGAAAACCAGAAGTTGGTAAGAAACTCAATAAGATCTTAAGATTTGACTAACATAATTTTCTGTAACCATCAAAGATTAGCATTAGTCTGAGATAAGCTAACAAGGCTACTTAAAGAGTTTACTTAATGCTTATATATTGGTGTTTCTAATATAAGCTTACTGACAACAAGAATATCTAATTATTTTAAAGATAAGATGTCGCTCTTACATAAAAGAACCTCCATTTAGTTGAAATTGAGATATGCCAAAATTTCACAATGGCGATAATGCTTAAACAACAACAGAAAGAGGATTGAAATATCTATAATCCAAAAATATCCCCTTTACCAATAACATAATACATAGACACAAATTCTCAATTGGGTAACAAGCAAACATCATTATATTGTAACCATATAAAATTTACTCCGTTTTAAACTTATCATATTTTTCAAAATAACTCGTTACATTTTCAATAGTATCAGAATTTGTGACATGAAATACCAGATATGAAATTTTCAGAAACTAATCAAACCATAAATTTTTTAACCATGGCGTATAGCTTGTATTATCTTTTACACAGAATAATTGAAAAATACCCTGGAGCAATGCTTGAATTCCCTAGAGGAACTAAATTCAAGAAAAAATATTCTCTATCTGAATACATGTTGCATTTGTTATGAAACAGAGTAAGCATTATGAAGTGGGAACATACCTTGATTGAAGTTAGAGAAAATAGCTCCTTATTAGCATAATGTTGCGTCCAATTGAATTCTAGATGCTGCTTTGTTCAGCAATTTAAGGAACTAAGGGAAAGTAGGACAATGTTAATAGTACGGAAATATAAAATACAAAGGAAATGAGTTGACAATCTAATAGTCTCACAAGGATGCAACAATAGATTTGCTGAAAAAGATGCAAGTTAGAGTAAGGAAAAAATAAAGTTCAAGTGTAGCACTAATACAGAATGTTGATACCTTTGCATATCCTTCTGTGGAGTATGAAGAGTTCACCATTAACAAATTCAAAGGTAAAAAGATTTTGTAATCATTTTACATGTTCTCATCTCTTACTAAAGTAAATATACAATCTCCGTTTGTTACAACAACAACAACAACCCAGTATAATCCCATTTAGTGGAGTCTGGGGAGGGTAGTGTGTACGCAGACCTTACCTCTACCATGGGGTAGAGAGACTATTTCCAAATAGACCCCCGACATCCTTCCCTCCAAGAACTTCACACCTTGCTCTTGGGGAGACTCGAACTCACAAACTCTTGGTTGGAAGTGGAGGTTTCTTATTATCAGAGCAACCCCTCTTGTTTCCAAATCTCCATTTGTTAATGACAAAAATTAATATCGATATAAGAATACATGTACTAGTGATGCATATGGAAAGAGCCACCATATATACACAGGTTACTCTGAAACTTAAAAAACATAATACTATCATGTGTAGGCACCATTCTTAAGATAAAAGGATAATGAATATCATTTAAGAGTTCAAAATGAAAACAAACCGAATATTACTTATAAAAGAAAAAATTAAGTGGACAACTAACTATTCTTCACCCAACTTTGCCAACCCCACTCCCCTAAAAAAGAATAAAATTGTATATGGCATAGCTGATATTAAGTTGTTAATCCAAAAGAGAAGCAAAAGATGCCTAGGCCAGAGTTTTCGTGTTATATAAAATTATTACTGTCTTAACCATATCCCTAGTAATACAAGATTACTAAAAAGGATATTTATCTGCAACGAGCTTATAGGACAAATGCACAAAATTTTTGAAGATATAAGGTTATTCAATTAAAGTGACGTTAAGAGTCTAACCTCAATATTAGCCCCTCGCCCCTGCACATAAGATTT